CGATTTACAACTGACTGGTTCCCGGCCCAGAAATGCAGTTAAGTACAATCATAGAGGGCACGAAGCTTTCAAAATGGGTTTACTCGAAAAAATGACGATTTTTATAAGCTACAGGTTTCCTCTTACATTAAATCACATGTAAAATGAAAATAATCTATCATCCTTTCCGATGGAACTACGGCTGATCTAAGGTTAACCCGGCAAATTGTCCAAATGTGTGAACCAAACTCAAAGGCGAACGATGTTTTTTCCTTTTCATTTTGTACGTTTTTTGTCCATAATTATTGGTTTTTTTTTATATATTTGAAAAGGTAGAGACAATTGTAGAGAGACACTGTAGAGACAATTTATATCTTTGAAATTTCCCGTTCAATTCTGAGAGCTCCCCTCGCGATCTTGAACACGTTAAATTTCCGACTCGTGTGTTAATGTTTGAACGACACGATTTCTTCTTCATGCCCAGCGTACATTCGATGGTCCCCGTATCCCGAGTGCGATTCTGTTACCGAGCGCGGTGCGATGCATCGATTATGATATGAGTAGGCTGGATCAGGTTTGTAAACACATGTGCATTTCGAACGATAATAGGGAGTCGTGAACTCTAGCGCAGCTTTTATGGCGGATACCAGTTCAAGCTGGTTCCTGATATTCTTTTACAGTTTGAAATGCAAGTTTGTGTTTACAAACGTGATAATTATCATAATCGATGCATCGCACGGCGCTCGGTATCGGAATCGCACTCGGGATACGGGGACCATCGAATGTACGCTGGGCATGAAGAAAAAAATCGCGTCGCTCAAACATTAACACGAGTCAGAAATTTAACGTGTTCAAGATCGCGAGGGGAGCTCTCAGAATTTGAACGAGAAATTTCACTTTTTCTTTCGGTTCGTAAGTAAACTTCAGTACAACCCTTAATCATGATGATGTCTACTTGTACCTCAGGTGGCATATCTAGTAACTTTGGAGGCCGTTTTGCGGGTGAAATCTGATGTTTTTTTGTTGGAAAATGTTGGTTTCTGGGACAGTGACAGGATGATGTTGTCCAGCTCGCACTATTAGCTTGGACCTACCATCACCAGACCATGTCCGAATGTTAAAAAGGCGATAAGTTTTGGTCCAAGTTACTCGGACTAAGTATGTCATTGGTCATTCATGCCAATTGTTCAGATGGGTCAAGAAATATCAGAATGTCAATTTTGAGTGTCATGATTTAGTCAACTGTTTTGTGAGTCTTTCCCTCCTTACGTAGGAACAGGGTCATAATATACTCCTAGAACTATGAGGCTCCACGTAGTGGAGCCTCATAGAGTCAGAACCCCGCAAAATTGTTGTCAGCACAAAAACTATTAAGTACAAAAACGTCCATCCCAACCAAGCTTTTTCCCACAGAACCGCTGCACAGTTTGCCCCTAAAACTCCGTACAATACCTCATGACATACTCCATTATGTGCACACCAACAAACATCGATGGATTCTGTCTGTTTTCAGCAAAAATGATGAAAAATATGCCCTTTGCCCTTTGCACTGAGCCTAGTCCGTAACTTGGACCCAACTTATCGCCTTTTAAAAATTTGGACATGGTCTGGGCGATAGTAGGGTCCAGCTCATTCCTCGACCTAGAACAACACATCACTGACAGTCCCAAAAACCAACATTTTCCAACAAAAAACATCAGATTTCACCTTCAAAACGGCCTCCAAATTACTAGATATGTCACCTGAGGTACAAGTAAACATAGATGATTTAGATGTTGTACTTAAGTTTACTTACGATCCGGAAAAAAGTGAAATTTTCCGTTCAATTCTGGAGACCCCCTCTGCCTAGGTTGTCGTTGTTGTGCTCACGTTCAAAACTGCATGATGAATGGCGTCTGACCCTCGACCTCATGCAAATGTGGTGCTGGCTCGCTTTGCGCATAATGCAACTGCATGCATACAACGGCAGATTCCCAAAGCTGCGCCGCGTACCGACGACACTGTTTCCTGATGTAGAGCGCTGTGTAAGTTCGCGTGTAGCGCCTGGGAGTCGCGCTGGCTAGCCAGGCGTACCGCGAACTTACACAGCGCTCTACATCAGGAAACAGTCGTCGGCGCGGCGCAGGGGAATCTGCCGGGTATGCATGCAGTGCATTATGCGCAAGCGCGCCGCACCACATTTGCATGAGGTCGAGGTCAGACGCCATTATCATGCAGTTTTGAACGTGAGCACAACAACGACAACCTAGGCAGAGGGGTCTCCAGAATTGAACGGAAAATTTCACTTTTTTCCGGATCGTAAGTAAACTTAAGTACAACCATCTTAATCATCTATGTCTACTTGTACCTCAGGTGACATATCTAGTAATTTGGAGGCCGTTTTTGAAGGTGAAATCTGATGTTTTTTGTTGGAAAAATGTTGGTTTTTGGGACTGTCAGTGACTGTGTTGTCTAGGTCGAGGAATGAGCTTGGACCCTACTATCGCCAGACCATGTCCAAATTTTTAAAAAGGCGATAAGTTGGATCCAAGTTACTCGGACTACACTGAGCCAACCTAACACTTGAAACGAGCACGCGCGCAGAATGATCGCAGTCATTTTCGGGTTCAATCGCTAGGAGCCCGCCGCGCGGGGGTACATACTTGCACTTGTATGCATGCGCATACTATCGTTCCGCTCCTACACCATACCCCCGCGGCGCGCTCCGAGCGATCGAACCGAAAATGACTGCGATCATTCAGGGCGCGTGCTCGTTTCAAGTGTTAGGTTGGCTCAGTGCGGAAAGGGCATATTTTTCATCATTTTTGCCGAAAACAGACAGAATCCACCGATGTTTGTTGGGTGCACATAACGTGAGTATGTCATGAGGTATTGTACGGAGTTTAGGGGCAAACTGTGCAGCGGTTCTGTGGGAAAAAGCTTGGTTGGGATGGACGTTTTTGTACTTAATTAGTGTTTTGTGCTGACAACAATTTTGCGGGGTTCTGTGTCTATGAGGCTCACTGGAGAGCCTCATAGTTCTTGGAGTAGTCATAATACTAGTAAGGATTACCGGGCGAAGCTTAGTGACCGACACCCGTTCTCATACGTTGTATCACGCAACCGATGCAACGATAAAGATCGAATACTTACCAACCAAAAAGCGTTTCAAATACTCGGCCTACATAGGAATTAAATGCACTAAGTTTTTTATTTTTCCTACAATAATCTCTGGAACTTTTTTGAGAGAACCTTTGTCTGAAAGGTTAGTATTATTGGAAAACAGCTGAGTTTTACCGTGTTTGCGAGCAGAACATCGGTGACATGGGACGTCATCTCGATTCTTGGATCTGCCGCCGGTACAGCGCCCTCTAAACAAATTTTTTGACAGTGACGTTTCTGAAATTTCGGATTAAGCTTCGCCTTAGAGTCATAACTGTCTACGTAATCATTTTAACAACTAATTAAACAGTCTAATGCAAGCATAACAACTGTAACATTAGATCTGTTGACAATCGATGTTTTCAATGCAGAACAATACCGTTACCAATATATACAAAAATTGACAACAATCCCAAGGTATGCGCTTGGTATGACGTATGCCCACGTGATGGCGCGCACAGGTGGTGGTGTTTTGTGATACTGACAGG